ATATATATATATGTATATTATATGTGAATATGCAAATACCTTTTCGGGACTGGGTCGTCTTTGCAACGGCGCAGCTTTGTTGGGGCCTAAACGGATACGCATCCTGAACCCTACTCCCTAACCTAACTGCCTAAACCCAAGGCCCTAAACCCTAAGACACAAACCCGACACCTGCCAGATGACGGTCTTGGAGATGGACAGCCTCCTGGGCCGCTGCTCCTACGGCGATGACGATGACCGCAACATCTGCAGCCGGAACGAGGACTGCATCGATGATGAATATTCTAACACTTTGATTTGGCACTTTGATTTGGCCGACAGCGATGGTCGTCGATGGTCAAACTGTTGAATATGGCTATTTTGTTTGTATACTTCTTACCACAGTACCACTATTGTCGGCATTCAAGCCCGATGAATGCACCCCAAACACCCAACACGCCCCCCCCCCCCCCCCCCCAACAGCCGCAACCCCAAGTTTTAAACACGCCCTTAACCTAGAAGCCTCAAACCGAACACCAAACTTCCCCGCAAAAAACCATCGAACTTCAGAGCCAGAGTAAGCAGGATCCGTAATGTGACTATTGCAAGGGTTACTACAAGAGCCTACTGCAACAAGTTCAATAAGGACGAGAACAGTAGAGTCGAGATACTATAGGGGTTCTACAAGTAAGGTTCCAATATATGCAAACTCCGCAACGCTCGAGCAAGCAACACCACCTCGATCGATACTTGGGTTCAAACCTGCCAGACTGCAAAGGCCAACGCCCCAAAGCATAAACTAGCCTGAAACCCAAATCCCTTTATATACACAAACTCCATTGGAACCCTCATAGAAGCATTCCAACATTCTCTAAATATCGCCAAATTCTTTGAGCTTTGGGCCCAGGGTGGCCACCGTCGCAGAGTGGCCGTCGCTGCCCAAGGCCAGGCAGCTGGGAACGCCGAGCGCCGGCCTTCTTCGTGTGGGTGTAGGGCTTATTCAGGGTTTACGGTTTAGGGTTNNGGATTTAGGGATTAAAGGGTTTAGGGTCTTGGGATTAAGGCTTGCAGACAAAAAGTCCAAAACAGCCTTGAGTAGAGCCCTTATGGTTCGTAAGACTTGTTAATTGTTTGTACTTGTGCTGAAATAGGGATTTCGGGTTTAGGGTTTCGGGTTTAGGGTTGAGAAGGTACTTGAGAGCGCTCCAGATACTAACACTAATGCTAATACAAACCAATACTAGTACGAATACGAAGGTGTAGAATTTAGGGGTATAGGGTCTCGGGATTTTGCGTTTAGGCATGGCTTTGGCTGGAGGGTTGGGGTGCAGAGGGTTTAATGAGTGTTAAAGTGCTTGGACGAACAGACTTCTAGGTTTCCGCTTAGACGGTCTGGGTTGAAAGGTTTTTGGGGGTTTAGGATTTAGAGAGCTTTGGGTTTACTATACGGTGTCGGAGGGTTTAGAATTTGAGAATTCCTAATAATGATAATAATACTTTGTAATACTACTACCAGTACCATGACGAAGACTAACACTAACACTAATACTGATAATTACAAATACCAGATACTAGTACAACTACGAACAATAATCAGAATACGTGATCGTGTCCCGTGCAGGGACTTATGGTCCTGAACTTGTGGGGGGTGCTCGTGGCATTTGGAACTCGAATGTTGGATAAAACAGATGTTGGCATTTGGGATCTCCCAAGTTGCTTGTAGTGGCCCCAATACTTAGAAGGAGGGGTTTGGGGACTTTATACTACTTACACGTACTACTATGGTCGTAAGGAGCCCGAAAGTTAGCCTTTGTAATTCTTCAGCTAATTCCCGACTTCAGGGAGGCCTCTGTTCTTTGCTTTCTTCGAAGACTACTTGTAGGAAGTGGAACGGGCAAAGTAATGGTTCAGGGTCAACGCGCCCGAGTGTTCTGTTGTGGCTCATGGCTGGGGGTCCCTACACGTCCTCGGTTCAGGGCTTTCGAGCTTTAGGGGTTAAGGGGTTTACTTAGGGGGTGAGGGTTTAGCGTTCTAGGGTCTAGGCGATTAGGGGTTTAGGGTTCTAGGGTTTAAGCGTTTAGGAATTGCATGGGGCTTTGGGTTTAGTTTTTGCGAGAGGTTGCAAGACCCAGTCTCTCGACAGGGCCCCATACACAATCCACACAGCCCAGGTCCTACCCAAACTCACAAGTCCTTGGCGTCTCCTGTACACCCGAATCTCTGTAACCCTCACCCTAAACCCTAGTCCCTAAGCGCAAAACCCGCAGGTGGGGGCCCCTGCGCGACGCGTTGCAAGGACCAGGCAGAGGAACACCTCACATCCCAGCCCAGGACGTCGCCACACTCCTCGCAAAGATTTGGCGCTTGACGCTGCTTCAAGACTTTCGACCGGTGGGTCTAGAAGCACATGACCCCTCAATCCAGTCGTGGGAACTTTCAGAAAGTGATATCTTGATCAACTCTAGAACATATAGTCTAGCATCCCTACTTCAAGCCCGTCATAGGACTTCAAGATTGCCCGAAGATCATCCCGGTCAATCAACTAGTCCCGCATAGTAGGGTGGTCAAATCAGCAGGAGTGCGGAGAATTGTCTGCATGTCCTGCTCCAAACATGAACCCTGGTTCGGGCTTCAGAAAGGAGTTAGGATTTTAGGGTTGCGGGTTTAGGACTTCTGGGGCTTTTCGGGGCAAGGGTTCAGGAAAACCCTGTAAGGCTTGTAGCCTGACTGCCTGCTGCAGAAGCTTAATTGGACCGTTTAGGGTTAAGGTTAGACCATAGTGCTAGTTTGGGATGCAGCAATGGGGTTTACACTAGAACAGCACTCTGGGACACATAGTGCTATGTGGGGCTGGAGTGAGCGTCAAGAGCTGCAACGCGCCGCAGCCCAAAACAGCGCTTGGGGGGGGGAGGCGGGGTTAAATGGATTTAGGGTGTAGGGGTGCCGGACAACGCGACGCCGAATAGTGACAAGTAGTAGTTGTGAGTGTTCCGTATTCACCAACATGCCCCAAAAACCTTGCTGTAGTGTTTAAGCCAATCCATGCCCATACCAAAAAGTAGTTAGGAATCAGAACCCTGAGCCCAAAACGATCGAGATACCTGGGCAAACACCACCATGGACTCCAGCTCAGAGTCGAACCTGGGCATGGTTGGGTTTGGGGATCAGGGTTTAGGCTCAGGGTTTATAGTTGTCACCAGAAAAGCGGCACGTGGAATGCAGGATGATTCGTGCTGGGATTCCTTCTTCTTTACCTTGGGGGCGTGAGGACAATGATGTCCCAATTGTCGGGCTTCTACTGCATGAGGGGTTTGCATGGGGTTCAGGGTGTAGGGAAGCCCCTTCCGCCTTAGACTCCCCCACCAACCCGTCCAGAAGCGTAACTATCTGCTAACCAGTCTAAGCCTTCGATAAAAACGGCTCCGTGGTCTAAACAGGCTGGGGTTCAAAATCAAGCTTCATGGTTAAGATAGACGGTGTACCTGTGCCTTTCAAGGAACTATATACAGAAACCACAAGAAGGAGCCCTAAAAAGGATCCCGGTAGGTCTTTTTCCGTGGCAGGGTCTATGGCCTTCAGCAGGGAGTTTCCGAAAATAGGGGGTACCTTATTCTGGGGTCCTTATAATAAGGATCCTACTATTTAGGGTGCTACCCTAAACCCTAAACCCTAAATGACATTAGGCCCCCTATTTTCGGAAACCCGCAGCAATCCCTTGGGCTTTCCCAAGGCTCGGAGGTCTCGCCTTCGAAGCTCGAAGCCCTTAAGGCCGAAGCTCCAAATTCTAGGGGTTTACGGGTTCAGGGCTTTAGGCTTTAGTTTAGGTTTTAGGGTTTAGGGTTTAGGGTTCAGGGTTTAGGGGTTTTTTAGGGCTTAGGGCTTGGCACACCGAACTCAGAAACTCCAGGAGTTGGAAACCCTGAACCCTTCGACCCCCCCCCAAAAAAATCTGTTTAAACCCTAAGCCCCCTCCACCCTAAACCTTAGCCCCTTGACCAAGAATCCTGAACCCTGAACCCTGAAACCTGAACCCTAAACCCGAAACCCTGAGCCGTAAGCCCTTAGCCCGAAGCCCTGAACCCAAAAACCTCAACGGAATCTCTTGGCCCGTGGCTGCTCGATGCAGGTGACCGTTTGACTTGTCACCTGGCCATAGAAGCTTCTCAGTTTTGAGGGTTTTGGGTTTAGGGTTCAGGTTTCAGGGTTTCGGGTTTACGGTTTAGGGTTCAGGTTTCAGGGTTTCGGTTTTGGGGTGCAGGTTAAGGGTTCAGGTTTCAGGGTTTCGGGTTTAATGTTTAAAAGGCTTCAGGGTTTCGGGTTTAGGATTCAGGTTTCAGGGTTTCGAGTTTAGGTTTAGGGTTCGGGTTTCAGGGTTTCGGGTTAAAGGTTTCGGGTTTCAGGTTAAGGGTTCAGGTTTCAGGGTTTCGGGTTTAAGGTTTAACAGGTTTCAGGGTTTCGGTTTTAGGGTTCAGGTTTCAGGGTTTCGGGTTTAAGGTTTCGGGTTCAGGTTTCAGGGTTTCGGGTTTAAGGTTTAGGGTTCAGGTTTCAGGGTTTCGGTTTTCAGGTTAAGGGTTTAGGGTTCAGGGTTTCGGGTTTGGGGTTCAGGGTTTAGGGTTCAGGTTTCAGGGTTTAATGTGTAGGGTAGGGTTCAGGGTTCGGGTTTAGGGTTCAGGGTTTCGGGTTTAGGGTTCAGGGTTTAGGGCCGAAGGTTTACAGGTCAGTGTTTAGGTTTGTGCAACATTTGCTTCAGCATGCTGTAAAGTTAGAGAGTATGAATCTGGCAAACTAGGGGCAGCTGATGATGCGCAAATAGGGTGTCTAAGAGTCTCTGGAGGCTAGGGGGCGGGGGGCTTTACACAAATTCAGGGTCCATATTGGGGTCCCTGCTTTTCTGAAACTCTACTTTCGGGCTTTGTGGGCTTAAGTTGGGAATGGTGAAAGGCTTGGGGATGTCAGGATTTCGGGCTTAGAGCTGCGAGGTGCAGTGAAGGGCTTTTCCGCTAAAACCCAGGGAGCCTTTGGTTTAGGGTTTAGGATTTTTGCTCCACAGTCCACTGGCAGCACTACATGTAGCAACTAGATCGTGCTTCCGGAGATACTCAAACCCGAGGCAACACTGATACCGAAATCCTAAAATCCTAAAGTTCTAGACCGAAGCCAATGAATCCAAGAAAGCACGCACAGCACTCCTAAAACCTGACCCGGAGACCTAGTGGCTCGCAGCATTTAGCCGAACTACACCGGTACCACAACGTTCTGAATGGGCACTAGCCACATCCCCCCAGAGTCCCTACATAAATATACTGCCGAAAAACCCGATATGCCCAGTCTGATTATTAGTCTAAGCTGCCGAATGCAGACTGCGGCCTGCCCCGAGAGAGGCCTCCTGTACCGAGAAGCCTGCACAGAGGGTTTCGGGTTTACAGTTAGGGGCTTAAAGGGCTCAGGTTTCGGGTTTACGGGAGGTTTAAGGGTTTAGTGTTTAGGGTTGAAAGCAGGCATTGGAAATGCTGCGGGATTGGAATTACAGGTGCTTTTGCGTCTGCGCATGTATCTCAACATATATAGAGACGTAACAGCAGAGGTGAAGAACACAGTACATGCCACAGTACACACAATTCTTTCTCGCTCGCTCGCTCGCTCGCTCCCTCCCTCCCTCTGTTAAATGAC